TCTCAGCAATATCACCTCCGTTAAGCATAAATCCAACCCATTGTGTTATGTGAGAGTTTTTAGAGGCTTGATTAATCACGGGTTGGTTTGTGATCATCTCCAGTAACACTATCCCGAAGCTGTAGACATCACTCTTCTCAGCCAGCCGATTTGTAAGGTAATATCTGCAAGACAGCAGCATACTTATATACTATTTAACCATTACAAAAGGAACACAAAGTTTTAAAACAAGTGTTTGTGTGTGTAGGAAAACTGAAAAATACTTACTCGGGATCAAGATATCCAGGGGTGCCAGCGACCACCGTCGAAAGATGAGATTCGCCTCCAACTTGGAAAGATCTTGAGAGACCAAAATCAGCGAGTTTGGCCTTGAAATGCTCGTCCAACAATATGTTTGCAGTTTTGACATCTCTGTGAACCATCGGTGGTGTGCATCCAATATGTAAGTACTCCAGTCCTATGCAATGGAGAGTCATCTGTATCAAATGATTTGCAGTAAACCCAGTTGAATCTTATATCTTGTCCTACATTTTTTAGCTTAGTACGAACCCAGCGCTGCCTCCAAAGCTATTCGCAGACGAATACTCCAGCTGATGATGGATCTACTTCCTTTTCCTGTATACTAGATCGTTAGAACCATTCGAGTTTTTTTGAGTTTCATGAGCTAGTACTCGATGATGGATCTACCTCCTTTTCCTATATATTCGAGTTTTTTTGAGTTTCATAATTACCTGACAAATGTTGTTTTAAGTCTCCATTGGGCAGAAATTCATAGATGAGGGCCAAGTGATCTCCTTCATAGCAATACCCGACAAGGCTCACCAAATTTGTGTGGTGAACTCTCATAAGAAGATCAACCTAAAGGTTATGACTCATGTCAAAAATATTATTAACATTCATAACCCTAGCTAGTGATGGTTGTAACAGATCATATAGTTTAGCTGAGAAGGTTACAGAACTATGAATACCTCTGCTTTGAATTCTTTATAGCCTTGAGTTGAAAATTGAGAGAGCACTTTAACAGCCACCTTTTCAGATCCATTTACAGTACCTTGATACACCATGCCGAACCCTCCTTTACCTAAGACTCTTTGGAAATTATTTGTCATTTTGATCACCTCTGAATATGTAAACCTTCTGCTATTCTTATTAGCAAATGTAACATTCACAGGTGGCAGGTGTAGACCTGTATATCAGAATAAGAACATTATCATATGGCTATTTTTGTTTGCATCTCTTCTTTTAATGTAAAGGAGTAAAAAGGTATTATAGTGTTAGTATTTGATGGCTATCTTGGAAATACCTTCTACAGTCTTTGACCTTTTCTTTCTGAGTACAAGAAAGAGAACCAATACAGCGATGACAATGGCTGCAGAAGCAACTGATGCAGCAGTTGGCACAAGAACTTTCTTCTTGGGAGGTTTTCTACATGGTCCAGAGAGACATAGCATTGGGTTTCCCTCAACACTACAATAAGAAAAGGGTGGCTGAAGACATCAAATGCACAAAAGGGTTGTAGAAAATAACTGAGAAAGGTTCAAAAGCTATGTAGAAAGCTTCTTACACTAGCTCCAGTCCATCTCTTTGAAGAGCTTGAGGAATTAAACCATTAAGATTGTTCCCTCTTAAGTTTCTGTTAAAAAATACAATGATCTCAGGTGGAGTACTGAAAAAAACATTAGATAATATGTTGAGAGAAACTTACATGACCGACAACGATCTCATGTTGCCGAGAAACTCTGGCATTTCTCCAGTCAAGTTATTATTCGACAAGTCCCTAATGTTAACAAGAGAGAGAGAATATAGATATGAAGGTTTATCATGTAATCCCAATTTTTGGCGTTCAATTAACAACAGACGTCATACTTACAGTTTCTTTAGTTGCGTAAGGTTTTGAATGGCAGCAGCTATGGTTCCAGTTAAACCACTTGAAGAAAAGTTTCTAAGGAAAATGTTTAAAACCACATTCAAAGTGTTAATGATGTAATTACTAATCAAGGCCTTGAAGAATGGGTGTGTGTACCACAAAAAATTCAACTTACAAAGAAGTGATTCTTGGTGGTGTGGAGATATCTCCGTAGCTGCAGTTTAAACAATCCCACGTAAGGTTTTGAGGGACACATGGATCACCTTGCCAGTTGATTCTTTGCAATCGATAGGCGTCTAAGATACTTTTTATAGAACCCACTGACATAAAAAAAGGTTTCCATGTATTGAGTGAGTAGTATATTGTGTTTATGATTTATATGCTTACTAAATAAGAAAGCATAGATCGACCTGGAAAACAAACTCACATACCGTCACTTTCATCTGTTTCAGACTGCGGAAACCGAATAACTCTGTAGATTTCGAAAGCATTAAGTAGAGGTGGAAGAGTTGATCTGTTGGTTCTTATCAGCTGGAAACTGCATCTCCCGTCTTTGCAAATTGTCGAGTTCAGGCTTGCGATAGTATTTAGTTCTAGCTTGCGTGGAATGACAGGGCCATAATAAAGCTCTCCATTCAAAAAAATATTGAATTCCCTGGTTTCATTTGCTTGCAACTCTTGGATCTCAGCAAAGTGTGAGTACAAGTAATATTGATCATCAGGATTTGCTGAACTCCATTCAATCGTCAAAGGCGCACTTGCATCAGTAGGCGTGGCAGCAGTTTTTAGTGCATCTTCGGGTGGGACATAATGGTTGGAATTGAACACATCTCGAGCGGTGAAAATTTCTGTCCATTCCATCTTAAAGTGCGAATTCCATATGCGATCATAGATATCCCTCGGGTACCTGGGAACAATGTTGTTTTTGTGTACAAATCAGAAAACAAAGGCACAAAAGACAAAAGAAAACATATAGAAAGAAAACAAAGACGCAGAAAAATAAAACAACAAGAGCCATTCCTCAGTTGAAGTTGACTCACCGTATATTAGTTGTAGTCGAGTTGCTAAGATAATACCTGGCGAAAAGTCTCAGGGAGCCAGAGTCAGTGATATAAGAATCCTTTCCCAGGGGCCGTAATTCCAAGGCGGATATTAGCGGTATAGTTTCGCCAGTCTTAACAAGACAAATCTGCAACGAGTTTGATGTTGGCATGTGTATGATATCTCTCCTTATACCGTCCCGTGTTTCCAAATCTATCTTGGTCCGTAGATTAGGTCCAAGATAAAGATCGAACACCGGTTTAATGTCACGACCATCGTAATTTCCATATACAAAGGTAGCTCTGATCATATATATACGCCCCTTCTCCACATTCAGGTTGTAGCAGTTCCGTATACCCTCGGGAAAATATCGCAGCGTTGTGTATGGCGTCTTGGATCTACTCGTTAGATTTGACTGAATTTCACCAGTTTTCCCGCTCTGGATGAATGTTGCGTCCGATGAGAAGGGCAGCCTCGTCAATATCTCATTATAAGGGGACTGTTCAGTCGCAGGTAGCCCGCAATCCAAACTGATGAACCCTGTTGAGACAGGGTACATATTCAAGGATAAATACTTTAAAAAAAGATATTTTATATAGAAAAAAATAAGATACCTTGTTGGTCCTGAGCTTGAACAATATGAATGATGGCCAACGTTGCAATTATCACCAGCAAAAGCCCAAGAGAACTCTCCATATTCTCCCAAGGAAAAATCAAGAAACGCAGTGGCTAAGAAGCTGTGGTAGATACAATATTGAATAAATAAGCAAAAACCCAGATCGTACACGACAAGAAAAGACTTTTGACAAGTCAATGTGTTTTCGCCATGCAACAAGTGGAAGAATAATCGTAGCGAATAAATAAGCAAACCCGAATCATACAGTAAAAGAGAAGACTCTGTCAAGTTAATGGAAAAACGTGAGGGGTTAAGAGGACAAAAATGCTCCAACATCACTGTTTGTGGAAATTACGGAGCAGACCCAGATGCACGGTGAGGAATAAATTGCTACATCAAAGGACAAGTCGATGAAGAATTTCCATTCGTTGTTTGCCAGCTCTCACTAATTTGTGAGTCTTGTAAGTTTAACGAAGGTATATTAATTTGTTAAAGGGTACAGTGATAAGTGAATAAGAAGTTACAATCCATACTCTTTTACTACTGCTTTATCGAGTACTTGATTTGTGGTTACATTTGGTGCTATCTTTGGTCAGAGTTTATGCATCTTATTTCCAGAGTACTACTACTACAGATAAGTGAAAGTTTATATAATTATTAATTATATTTCTAATTATGTAACTTTCCATGGTTTTATAATTGGAAATATCGGTCTTGCTGCAGTTCAAATCCTCCCACGCGTACTGCTGAGGAACGCAAGGATCCCCTTGCCACCTAATTTTACTCACTCCATAGGTAGGCTTCGATAAAAAAATTACAGCAACCACTGATATAAAAGTTCAATGATATGAGGATTAAGATCTATGATCTATCATAACAGACCTTATCTGCAGAACAGTGAAACTTAAAAACGTAACATCGTTTCCATAAGCAAAATCCCCGAAACTGGAAACTAGAAACTAGAAAGAAAAGACTTTGTCACGTCAACGTGTTTTCTAGTGCAACTTTTACCATGCAAGGCGAAGAAGAATAATGGGAGGATACCTATGCTCAAACATCATTATCGAGAACAATGGAGCAATGCACAACTTGCTTAGAAAATATTGGCTTTAATAGCCACCGGACATCGGGACGGTAACGTCCAAATGGGAATGTGATGTGAGTGCAGTCCAATAATCATACAAAACCCAAAGCATACACTAAAAAGAAAGACTTTGTCAGGTCAATGGTGAAAATGAGTAAATGTGTTTTCTAGTACTGCCAGCTTCACCCGGGGAATTAAGAAGATGCCGTGTGACTTGTGATAAGAGGGCAACAACGTTCCAGCATCGCTTATCTTGAACTTATTATTGGAAAATAAGGAGCAGACCAAGAAGCAAATGCTACATCCTCAGCCGTGCTTAGATATTTTAATAATTTTCATATAATAAAAATTATATTTGTTCATGTATCTTTGAAATTGCCAAATCGGCATACATTGGTAGTTGGAAATATTTTATAAAATAAAGATATGGTGAAAGAAAATGACAAAAATGAGTGTGGATTGAAAAGTTTACAGAAAAAAATTGATCAAAACTCAATGTTTATTTTTGTGTAACAAGTTTGGTCTTACTAGGTTTTAGGGGTCTTAACATTTTTCCTACACACGAAGACCCAAACTACCTGAAAGCCCACAAGTGTCATGTCCAAGCTCATATTCACTTCTTCAAAAGCTAGCATTCACGAATACATGTCAATGGTCCCAAACCCAAATATTCACAGCATGGCACACAATAATCTAACACACAATTCATTATAAAACCAACAATCACCAAATAAATAAAGAATAAGATATACGTTTCAATGGTCAAAACCAAAATGACTATGTTTGGTATTGCCATATTTTTACATGTTACTTGGAACCCATGTGTGATCATAGACATCTTTCATGTACCTGTGATGAGACTATTGTTGTTTTAGCCGTAGAACAATATTTATCAGATTTTAAAACCTTATGTATGGCATTTTTCACTGTTTTTTCTTGTCTTGTACTTTTTTGTTAGTATCATATGAAACCACCTCGTATGTTGGAAACATAGCACAACGGTGCAGAACACACATAAGCAAAACAGAGCTGGAAAGAAGAAAACGTTGTTCAGCTGAAGTTGACTTACCTTATATCAGATCCTGACTTGCTAAAATATCTCCGGGAGAAAAGATTCAAGGAGCCATACTCATTGATATTAACACCGTTTCCCATGGGCCGTAACTCCAAGGCCGATATTAGCGGTGTAACTTCGCCAGTCTTAACAAGACATATCTGCAACATCAGTCTAATGTTGGTATGTGTAACATCTCTTCCGCCGTACCATTCACTAGCCTCTGCAAACCTACCGTGGCCCATAGATTAGGTCCAAGATACAGATCAAACTTCGGCTTAACGTCAAGACCATCATAAATTCCATATACAAACCTAGCCACGATCAAATATGTCTCTGCCCTTGTCGACGTTTAGATTGTAGCAGTTCCTAATGTCTTGTTGAGATATATTCGAACGAAAAGCTTCAGAGAACCGGACTTTGTGGGAAAAGACCTATTATCCAGCGGCCGTAACTCCAAGGCTGAGATCAACGGTGTAGTTGTCCCCGTCTTAACGAGACAAACCTGCAACGAGCTTGATGTTGGGGTGTGAATGATCTCCTCCATTGTACCATTCACAAACTTTTGCAAATCTATTGTTGCCCACAGATTAGGGCCTAGATGCAGATCAAATGTCGGGTTAGAGTTAAGACCATCGTAGTTCCCATACATGAACCCAGCCCTGATCAAGTATCTTCTATCTTTTTCAACACTCAGAGTATAGCAGTTCCTTCTCTCGTCTGGAAAATATCTCAGCCTCGCGTAGGGCTTCAGGTAGTCACCCACCAGATTAGCCTGGATTTTACCAGATTTACCGGTCTGGATGAACTTAGCATCAGACGAGAACCGTAGTCCGGTTAATGGCTCGTTATAAGGAGACGGTTCACTCACGGGTAACCCGCAGTCCAAACTGATGAACCCTACAAGAGAGAAGTACAAACATTATTGATACGAAGCTTGAATGTGTATACATATAAACCATTAAAATGTGGATACCTTGTTGATCCTGAGCTTGAACAAGACGAACAATGGCAAAAACTCCTAATAGCAGCACCAAGAGCCAACGAAGACTCTCCATTGTAGTTACTTAAGAGTAAGACATTAGCGATGCCTGAGTTTGAGATAAGGAAGCCAAGCCTCTGGCAACATGGCAAGATGTCCTGAGTCTGGAAATTTACAAAAACAAAAACAAAAAGAAAACGAATGAGTAAATGTGTTTTCTATTGCAACTTCACGAGAATACATCTGTGTTACAGTTTCTTGGTCAGAGAATAGGCAACTTGTGTTTTCGAGAGAATCAGTTAGTCATAGCTATTACAGTCACCACCACTCTTTGACGCATTAAAAATGAGAGCAAAGGATTTGGCTTTCTAGTAATCATTGACTTGAATGAGAGCATGTTGGATAAATTTCTTAAATTTACAAAAGTCGCTCACAATTATAAATTGACAAGACTGACATTATCAGTTGATCAGTTCTAGTAGATTTACTCATATCATAAACTTCGAATTAACAAAAGTGTCCATTTTACCTTTCGACCATGGATCTATGAGAATTCTGGGTCTCATTTCTTTCAGCCGGCCCAGTAGCTACGTGGATAGGACAAAGTTGAAGAGTCTCCGGCGGTAAATCGGCCATATACGGCAGAAAAATCTCCCGTCGTTAGAAGAAGAAGAATGCATGTCCATCAACATAACCGGTGGTTAAACCTTAAACGATGGCGATGGCGATGGCGATGGCGATAAATCCACCTCTTCCCCGGCGATAGCACTAATTTGAGAATCGCGGTCGACGTTTGGAGTGCTCGCGTTTTCAAACGCAACGCTGTTATATTATTATTATATATAGCGGGAAAATGATTTTGGGCCGGTTTTGTATGGCCCATTATAGAACTCTTTTATCCATAAATAGTTTCGGATCCAATATGTCTATCTGTAAAACTGTCTGTCACTTTCGTAGTCTAGGCGAATCAGTCAGCAGCAACCGAAGAAATATCCCAAGCGAGAGAGAGGAGAGATGAGGTTGTTCGATCCATGGCCAGTGTTCTTCAAGAGAATCATCCCATGGAACTTCACGGAGTAAAACACATACAAAGAAACCAAAGAACAGAGAGAAATGTCGATGGTGAAAGCAAAAGGACCTGTTTGTGGTATTCAAGACACATATGAAGAAACTAACAGAGCAGAGAGTGTGATCTTGATATGTCAATGATCAAAGAAAAATGAAAATTGTCGACTTGGGAGACGATACACACTTTAACATATACTCTTTTAACTTAGCTCTACAATATAAAAAATTGTAAATAATCATTGGCACCACAAGTGGACAACACTCAAAACTATCTTGCCATGGGAACCACCGAAGTGACCAAGCCAGTGTTCATTTCTTGATATTCCAAGGCTGGATCTTTGTTCATCCTCGAGTTATCACACACGATACACTCTTTTAGCTCGTTGATAACCTTAGACATGGATGGTCGTTTTGAGGAAGAAGGATCCGCACATGACATTGCCAGCTCAAGAGCTCTCCACGCAGAGTTAGTGTCATACTCGTTGCAAAGTTTTGGATCCATAATCTCAACAAGATCACCTCTGTTAACCTTAAAGGCAACCCACTGTGTTATGTGTATGTTTTCAGAGGTCTGATTGATCACAGGTTGGTTTGTGATAATCTCCAACAACACGATCCCGAAGCTGTAGACATCACTCTTCTCAGACAACCGACTTGTACGGTAATATCTGCAAGACAACACAACATGGTACATACTCTCTAACCTAACAAGGAACGAAAAGTTTCAGAACAAAGCGTGTGTGTGAAAACTACTTACTCGGGATCAAGGTATCCAAAAGTACCAGCAACACCCGTTGCATCCAGAGATTCGCCTCCACCTTGGAAAGATCTTGAGAGCCCACAATCAGCGAGCTTGGCCTTGAAATTATTGTCGAGCAATATGTTTGCAGTTTTGACATCTCTATGAACCATCGGTGGTGTGCATCCAATATGTAAGTACTCCAGTCCTATGCAAATGGAGACATTTGTATCAACTGATTTGCGGTAAACCCAACTGAATCGTATATCTTGTGCTACAAACCTAGTGCTGCCTCCAAAGCTATTCTTAGACGCATACTCCAGTTGATGATGGATCTATCTCCTTGATCTGTATATTAGACAGTTAGCTCCATTCGAGTAATTTCATGAGTCAATGTGAAATCACTAGAAAAATATCACCTGACAAAAGTTGTTTTAAGTCTCCATTAGGCAGAAACTCGTAGATGAGGGCCAAGTGATCTCCTTCATAGCAATACCCGACGAGGCTCACCAGATTTGTATGGTGAACTCTCAGAAGAAGATCAACCTAAGGCAAGACTCATGTCAAGAAGATGTTGAAATCCATAACCTCAGTGTGATACTAGCTAGAAACATATCATAGTTTAGTTGGGAAGATTTCAGAGATATGAATACCTCTGTTTTGAATTCTTTATAGCCTTGAGTTGAAGATTGAGAGAGTACTTTAACAGCAACCTCTCCAGATCCATTCACAGTACCGTGATAGACCATGCCGAACCCTCCTTTACCTAAAACTCTTTGGAAGTTATTTGTCATTTTGGTGACCTCTGAATATGTGAACCTTTTGCTTTTCTTATTAGCAAATGTATCATTCACCGTTGACCTCCACGTTAGCAAGTGTAGTAGACCTGTACATCAGAATAAGGATGTTATGGTATCGACATTCACGAGATTTATATATGTATTTCGTATTTGATGTCTCTTGCAAAAACCTTGTAGATACGTTGACTTTTTATTTTTAAGTAGAAGGAAAAGAACCAATACAGCAATGACAATGGCTGCAGAAGCAACCGAGGCAACAATTGGAACAAGAACTTTCTTCTTTGGCGGTTTTATACATGAGTCAGTGAGACAGAGATTTGGGTTTGCTTCAACACTATAATATGAAAAGGGTTGTTCAGGACAGTAAATGCACAAAAGGGTTGTAGATAATAACTGAGAAAAGTTCAAAAGCTTTGTAGAAAGTTTCTTACACAAGCTCTAGTCCTTCCCTTCGAAGAGCTTGAGGGATTGAACCATTGAGATTGTTCCCACGTAAGTTTCTGATAAAAACGAACTATAATCTGAGTTGGAATCCGAAAAGCAATTAGAAAACATGTCGAGAGAAACTTACATGACCGACAGCGATTTCATGTTGCCTAGAAACTCCGGCACTCCTCCAGTCAAGTTATTATTGACAAGTCCCTAATGTTTGCAATGGAAAACAGAGCTTATCCAATATATTCCCATACATGTAATAGCAACTTTTCTCCTATTGTAACACTTACAGTTTTTCTAGTTGCGTAAGATTTTGAATGGCAGCTGCTATGTTTCCAGTTAAACCACTTGAAGACAGGTTTCTAAGGGGAATGTTCAAAAACCACATTTTAAGTGTTAATGATCACAACTACTATCAGAACTTGATGAGTTTACGTGTACTTCTAAACTTACGACTTACAGAGTAGTGATTCTTGGTGGCATGGACATATTCGTGTTGGTGCAGATTAAACCGTCCCACCTAAGCTGCTGAGGGAAGCATGGATCGCCTTGCCAATTGATTCTACTCAAACCATAGGTAGCTTCAATGTTCTTTATAGCAGACACTGACATCAAAGAAGGTTTCGATGACAATTATCTATTGCGTTTATGACAAATGTCTTTACTACAACATAAAAAAGCATAGATAGACCTGGAAACGAAAGTCACATACCGTCGGTTTCGTCTGTTTCAGACTGCGGAAACTGAATAACTGTGTAGACTTCAAAAGCATTAAGTAGAGGTGGAAGAGTTGATGTGTTGGTTCTTATCAGCTGAAAACTGCATGTCCCTCCTTTGCAAGTGTCCGGGGACCGGTTAAAAACAGTAAGTAACTCTAACTTTGAAGGAGTTAAAGGACCATAAAAGAGTTGTCCATTCAATAGGATATTGAACTCTCTGGTTTCATTTGCCTGCAAGTCTTGGATCTCAGCAAAGTGTGCGTACATGTAATATTGAACAACAGGATTTGCTGAAGGCCATTCAATCGTCAATGGCGCACTGGCGTTAGTAGGCGTGGCTGCATTTTGTAACACAACTTCCGGTATACGGTAATTGTTGGAGTTTCTCACTTCGAGTTCGGTGGAGATCTGTGTCCATTCCATCTTAAAGTGCGAATTCCATATGCGATCATAGATATCGCTCGAGTACCTGGAAATAATGTTGTTTTAGCATTTGATTAAGACAAAGGAACGTTATCATTAGATGCCACCTTGGACCGTTTTTCTTGAAAAAAATCAAAAGGAAAACAGAGACGCAGAAGAAGTTAAATAAAACAAGAAGAGCCATTGAAGTGGACTCACCGTGGGTGAGATCCTGACTTGCTAAGATAATACCGGTACTGTTGACTCAGGGAGCCAGATCTAGTAATATACGAATCATTATCAACGGGCCGTAACTCCAAGGCGGACAAAAGCGGTGTAGTTTCACCAGTCTTAACAAGACAAACCTTCAACGAGTTTGATGTTGGGATGTGGAACATATCTTTCCGTGTACCATTCACCTGAGTTTCTAAATCTATAGTGGCCCATAGATTAGGTCCAAGATAAAGATCGAACACCGGTTTAATGTCGTGACCATCGTAATTTCCGTATACAAAGGAAGCTCTGATCAAATGCTTGCGTCCTTTCTCCACATTCAGATTGTAGCAGTTCTGTATTCCATCTGGAAAATATCTCAGCGTTGTGTATGGCTTGAGGTATCTACTCACCAGATTTGCCTGAATTTTACTAGTTTTCCCGCTCTGGATGAATGTTGCGTCCGATGAGAACTGCAGCCTCGTAAAAGTCTCGTTATAAGGGGACTGTTCGTTCGCAGGTAGTCCACAATCCAAGCTGATGAACCCTGTTGAGTGTTTAGCAAGATATATGGTAAAGATTAGCTATAAAAACCAGTGCACTTCTGAGAACTAAAACGTTTGTATAACAGGAACTTATCAAGCAAGAAACGTTTGTAGAATGGAGTAGCAAGGATTGTACATAGAAGATTATCTGATACCTTGTTGGTCTTGAGCTTGAACAATATGAATGATGGCCGAAGTTATTAGCACCAACAGAAGCCCACCATAACACTCCATATTCTCTCAAACTCCCAAGAAAATCATTGGCTAAGCTATGGAAGATAATAGTGAACAAATAAGCAAAACCAAATCATTCACTAGAAGAAAGACTTTGACAAGTCAATGGTTGATAGGTCTTGTCAAAGTTAGTTCCTACAATCAAAACAAAAAACTACTTTTAAATAGGGAACGTCGCTTTAACGTTAGGTGACATCCCTTTGATTCATCTTCTAAAGTCTTTCTTTTATTGTTTGTTTTGTTTCTCACAAATAAACGTGGAGAAGACCCACTTTGTATATTTTTTGGACATCAAAGAAGACCCACCTTGTATATTCTTTTTTTGTCGTCAACCCAGTTGTATATAAGTGCAACATGCACATGTGCTTTCTTTGTTTTGACTGCTCACAATATTACACTAAGACAACAAAAAAAACCCAAAGACAAAAAAAAAACCATTGGTGTCAAGAAGTTAGTATATCAGTGGTCCAATTCTCTGGCCCGGCCGTAATATTAAAAAGGACATGAGCTGGTTGTAATCGCCGGTGCCATGGGCGCAGCACATGATCCAAGTAAATTTCCAATTCTTTTATCAATGGTTTAAAGAATAAAATATTTGTCCTCAGTACATTTCTTTTTAATGAATAAAATATTTGTCCACCTTTGTAAAATCCAGCTCATTTTTCATTTCATGTAACCCATTACATCATTCATACACAGAACATGGATAATAAAAGCAAGGAAATATCATAGTTCAACATCCCAGGTAATCTCGCGTATTGTATGTTTTATTGGAATGATAAATCAAAGGCAAGATCAGGTGTCTTGCCCGTGTAACCGTGTTGTTTTTAATTGTTCATGTCAGTGTCTTTTTTTTCTGGTCATTGACGCCGATCGCTGCCACTTCGAAAAGAACCGGCCCAAATAAAATCAGGCCCAAGACTTCCTTTGAGTTTATAGGCCCATATATTTAGAGCCGATTTAGTTTAACTTAAAACCCATACACACGTTACCCAAAATACTCGTTTCAACCAAAACCTTCAGTACTACCATGCACAGTGATAGAGAGCGCAAGTTTAGATAACAAGTTAGGTCATGAGAACTTCAGAAGTTTAAATTACAAGTTAGATCACAAGAATTTTAGGAGAATTTTCAAATACACTTGGGTTTAGATGTAGTGAAAAAGATTTCGATTACATCTAAGGTTTGAGAGTCTTCTCTTATGACTATGTACAAGAAAACTTTTTGGGAAATTAGAATTTCCTCTTTTTGGTTTTTATTGATTTATTAAAAGAAAGACTCAGCAAATTAAGACTGAAATGGGAAAAGAAGTAGAGACCACATGAGCATGACTCGTTGAACACAAACTTGTGTTCGACACGTTAAACCCAACTAAAAGCATGCAATACACGAAGTTGTGCTGCATCAGACCAGCACAAGTAAACAAGACACAGTCACACAACTTAAAAACACAAGCGTAAGGAGTGACCCGATCGGAATCGGTTTTGCTGCACAAACTATCTTGCCCTAGGAACCACCAAAGTGTCCAAGCTCATCATGGTCATCTCTTGAGATTCGAAGCCTGCATTCTTACTTATCCTGGAGTTCTCACACGCAAGACACTCTTTAAGCTCGATAATAACATGGGACATGGTAGGTCGGTTTGCAGAATGAGGACCCGCGCATGACATTGCCAGCTCAAGAGCTCTCCATGCAGAATTAGTGTCATAAACTCCGCAAAGGTTTGGATCCATGATCCCATTAAGATCACCTCCGTCAAGCTTAGAGGCAACCCATTGTGTTATGTGAGAATTTTTAGAGATCGCATGTTGGTTTGTGATCATCTCCAACAATACGATCCCGAAGCTGTAGACATCACTCTTCTCATCCAACCGACCTGAACTGTAACATCTGCAAGGCATGTGAAATACTTATATAATTTCAATTGTTGAAAAAGGAAGGCAGTTTCAACACAAAACAGTGTGACGTGAAAGTGAAAGTGAAAACTAATATAGTACTTACTCGGGATCAAGGTATCCAGGAGTGCCAGCTATGACCGTCGAAACATGAGATTCGCCACCAACTTGGAAAGATCTTGAGAGCCCAAAATCGGCAAGCTTGGCCTTGAAATGCTTATCTAGCAATATGTTTGGAGTTTTGACATCTCTATGGACCATCGGTGGCGTGCATCCAATATGTAAGTACTCCAATCCTATGCAATGGAGTCATCTGTATCAGTGGATTTACGGTAAAAGCCAAATGAGCCAATACTTGTTCTACACGGCTTTTGATTTGGTACAAACCTAGAGCGGCCTCCAAAGCTATTCGTAGTCGAATACTCCAGTTGATGATGGATCGACCTCCTTTTCCTGTATATTAGAATTCGTAAGATCCTTTTGAGTTTTCCAAGTTCCAAGAGTTAGAAAGCAGTCACTACAAATGTTACCTGCCAAATGTTCCTTTATGTTTCCGTTGGGAAGAAACTCGTAGATGAGGGCCAAGTGATCTCCTTCATAGCAATACCCGACGAGGCTCACCAAATTTGCATGGTGAACTCTAAGAAGAAGATCAACCTAAGGCATCGATTTGAAGAAATAAAGACATCTATAACTTAAGTTTGTTAATGTCAAAAGCTCGTCATATATATATAGTTTAGTTGGGAAGATTACAATACTATATATGAATACCTCTGCTTTAAATTCTTTATAGCCTTGAGTTGAAGATTGAGAGAGTACTTTAACGGCAACCTCTCCAGATCCAATTAAGGAACCGTGATGGACCACAAGAGAACTAACTATGATGGTTGTTGATTAATCATGGTTGAGTTTATATGGGATCACTTTGGTGTTGGGAAACGGCTACTGCCGTAATAAGATAAGCAGGAGCCAACTCCACACTGTCAAGGACGTTATGTCCGTTTATACTCAAAGAAGAAAGGAAAACGCAATCGCTATTCAAGGTGTGTTCGTTGGCGTTTCAAGAAGTGCATTCTGCGTTTGCTTTACTTGGGGAAGCCCTAAAGGTGGTAAGACTATAAAAAGGCTTCGGTGACATGAGAGAGAGTTGAGGGAGGTGAGCAGAGGCACAATGTAGCCGAGAGTGATAGTTGAGAGAAAACAGACTTAGTATAAGCTTTGTTTAAGGTTTGTCTCTCTAGCAATAGAAGTGGTACAGAGTGAGTCCAAGTACTAGTGAAGGGTATTAGGCAGATCACTTGTAACTTCTTGTTGTAATCACTGTATTGAATCTAGTGGATTCTGAGCTTAGTCTCGGAGAGATGTAGCGATCCAGTTTAGGCATGAACTCGTTAAATGTTTGTGTGTGTTCCATTCTCCCTTCTTCTTTTCTCCTTTCTCTCATACTCTGTTTTCTGCAAGTTTCTGCATCTTCTCTGTTTTAGTCTCTCGTTTTGACACATCAAGCTTCTTCAATCTTGGTCTGAATGGTTTATGCTCTAGAAAGGTGACGTTTAGAGCCACTGAATCCTAACACTCCATATTCTCTCAAACTCCCAAGAAAATCATTGGCTAAGCTATGGAAGATAATAGTGAACAAATATGCAAAACCAAATCATTCACTAGAAGAAAGACTTTGACAAGTCAATGGTTGATAGGTCTTGTCAAAGTTAGTTCCTACAATAAAAACAAACAACTACTTTTAATAGGGAACGTCGCTTTAACGTTAGGTGACATGTATGATTCATCTTCTAAAGTCTTTCTTTTATTGTTTTTTTTTTCTCACAAATTAACGTGAATGTGAAAGACAAACTCAGACACGAGTGCAAAGTCAAACACTAGTAAACCGCTTATATTTTTGAGCAAGGGGTTTACTATTAAAATAAAAACCGGTTACGTTGATATACAAAAGTTATGCAATTTCTTAGAAATACGCTCTACAAAAATTTCTGGTTCTCTAATTTGAGCTTAAAATTACATTCATACGCCAAGCTTTTGGTAAATTCTAAAACTCTACATCAAGTAAAAACGGAGAGGGTTAAGAGGACAACAATGTTGCAATTAACGGGAAAATAGGGAGCAAGACAGAGAGGCACACGTAAAGCAATAAATTGTGTACAAAATAGGGAGCAAGACAGAGAGGCACACGTAAAGCAATAAATTTTGACTGCTCACGCTAAGACCAAAAGAAAAACCCTATGACAAAAAAAAAAACATTGGTGTCAAGAAGTCTGCTTTAGTATCAGTGGTCCAATTCTGGCCCGTAATACTAAAAGGACAAGACCTGGTTGTAATCGGCGGTACCATGGGCGCAGCACATGACCCAAGTAAATTTCCACTTTTTTTATTAATGGTTTAAAGAATAAAATATTTCTTGGGTTATTTTCTTTCAACGAAAGCAAGAAACATCGCAGGGGGATACTGTTTATCTCCGAACCAAAAGATAACTCAAGGCATTAGTTATGAGTCTTATGACTTATGAACTTGACAAAGTCAGCAGAACCGCTTAAGTAGAAATAAAAAAACCTGCGCAATATCTTGAAGCTACAAAAGTGTATGATTCTTTAATTTTAATCAAAGAATCTGATAATCAATGATCATATGGCAAGCTTTTGGCAAATTTTAAAACCCTACTATCTACAAAAGCAAAAAAAGAACAACAATTTTCAAAGATCAATGGGGGATATAGGGTGCAGACACAGAGGCACACGTTAAAGAATAAAGATATACTCAAAGTTAGTTTCTACGATAAAACAAAAAAAAATACTTTACAGTAGGGGACGTCGCTTTATCGTAAGGTGACAACATGATTTATTCATCTTCAAAATTCTTTCTTTTATTGTTTTTTTTTTTGGTTTCTCACATATTAACGTGAATGTGAGCACAAACAAACTCAGACACGAGTGCAAAGTCAAACACAAACAACGGAAACCGCTAACCGCTTAAGTAGATATAAAAAAAATCAATGGGAAAATAGGGAGCAGACACAGAGGCAGACGTAAAGGAATAAATTTTGTATACCAGAATAAGATATTTTCTAGCTTGTGTTCCCCTTCTCGTTCAGATTTCTCTATTTGCAGATTTCACTGCATCTGTTTGTTGAGTAGTTTTCAGTCCATGAACTTTCACGGCGTGGCACTCAAGAGTAAACACACATACTGCAAAGAAACCAAAGAACAGAGTAACATAATATTTGAAAACGTCGATGGTGAAAGCAAAATGACCTGTTTGTGGTACTCAAAGACACATATGAAGAATGAAGAATCCAACAGAGCAGAGAATGTGATCTTGATATCAAATCTAAAAATGAAATTGAAAATTATCATTCATTTGTTGATTCCATCATTGGTACCACAAGTGGACAACACTCAAACTATCGTGCCATGGGAACCACCGAAGTGACCAAGCCAGTGTTCATTTCTTGATATTCCAAGCCTTGATCTTTATTCATCCTCGAGTTATCACACACGATACACTCTTTTAGCTCGTTGATAACCTTAGACATGGACGGTCGTTTTGAGGAAGAAGGATCCGCGCATGACATTGCCAGCTCAACAGCTCTCCACGCAGAGTTAGTGTCATACTCGTTGCAAAGTTTGGATCCATAATCTCAACAAGATCACCTCTGTTAACCTTAAAGGCAACCCACTGTGTTATGTGTATGTTTTCAGAGGTCTGATTAATCACGGGTTGGTTTGTGATTATCTCCAACAACACGATCCCGAAGCTGTAGACATCACTCTTCTCAGACAACCGACTTGTACGGTAATATCTGCAAGACAACAGAACATGGTGCATACTCCTCTATAACCTTGAACAAGGAGGGATAGCGAAAGTTTTAGAACAAAGCGTGTGTGTGAAAACTACTTACTCGGGATCAAGGTATCCACTTGCATCCAGAGATTCACCTCCACCTTGGAAAGATCTTGAAAGCCCGAAATCAGCAAGTTTGGCCTTGAAATTATCGTCCAGCAATATATTTGCAGTTTTGACATCTCTGTGAACCATCGGTGGTGTGCATCCAACATGTAAGTACTCCAATCCTATGCAATGGAGTCATCTACATCAAATGATTTGCAGTAAAAATCAATTGAACCGTATATCTTGTCCTACGGTTTTTAACTCAGTACGAACCTAGTGCTGCCTCCAAAGCTATTCGTAGTCGAATACTCCAGCTCATGATGGAACCTCCTTTCCCTGCATATTAGATCGTTAGATCCATTCGAGTTTTCTACATGAGCTAGTACTACACGTGAAATCACTACAAAATATTACCTGACAAATGTTCTTTTAAGTCTCCATTGGGCAGAAACTCGTAGATGAGGGCCAAGTGATCTCCTTCATAGCAGTACCCGACAGGGCTCACCAAATTTGTGTGGTGAACTCTCAGAAGAAGATCAACCTAAAGGTTATGACTCATGTCAAGAAGAAGTTGAAATCCATAAGTAATACTAGAAACACATATAGCTTAGTTGGGAAGATTTCAGAAATATGAATACCTCTGTTTTGAATTCTTTATAGCCTTGAGTTGAAGATTGAGAGAGTACTTTAACAGCAACCTCTTGAGATCCATTTACAGTACCATGATAGACCTTGCCGAACCCTCCTTTACCTAAAACTCTTTGGAAGTTATTTGTCATTTTGGTGACCTCTGAATATGTAAACCTTTCGCTTTTCTTATTAGCAAATGTATCATTCACCGTTGACCTCCACGTTAGCGGGTGTAGTAGACCTGTACATCAGAATAAGATTGTTATCATATCCTTTTTTGATATTTGTACCTCTTATTTTTTTGATAGATGTATGTATTTCGTATTTGATGTCTCTTGCAATTACCTTGTAGATACGTTGACTTTTTCTTTTTAAGTAGAAGAAAAAGAACCAATACAGCAATGACAATGGCTGCAGAAGCAACCGAGGCAACAATTGGAACAAGAACCTTCTTCTTTGGCGGTTTCATACATGAATCAGAGAGACAAAGCTTTGGGTTTGCTTCAACACTATAATATGAAAAGGGTTGTTGAGGACAGAAAATGCACAAAAGGGGTTGTAGATAACAAATGAGAAAAGTTCAAAAGCTTTGTAGAAAGTTTCTTACACAAGCTCTAGTCCTTCCCTTTGAAGAGCTTGAGGGATTGAACCATTGAAATTGTTCCCACTTAAGTTTCTGATAGAAAACGAACTTTAATCTGAGTTGGAATCGTAAAAGCAATTAGAAAACATGTTGAGAGAAACTTACATGACTGATAACGATTTCATGTTGCCTAGAAACTCCGGCACTTCTCCAGTCAAGTTATTATTCGACAAGTCCCTAATGTTTGCAATTGAAAACATAGCTTATCCAATGTAATAGCAGATTTTCGCCTTCAGTTAACAATAGACAGAATACTTACAGTTTTTCTAGTTGCGTAAGGTTTTGGATGGCAGCTGCTATGTTTCCAGTTAAACCACTTGAAGACAAGTTTCTGGTGAAAGACCACATTCAAAATGTTAATGATCATGATTACTAAAAGATCTTGAAGAGTGAGTGTGCCTGCATGATGTCTACTAGTGAGCTTATGACTTACAAAGAAGTGATTCTTGGTGGTGTGGAGATATCCGTGTTGCTGCAGTTTAAAGCGTCCCACCTAAGCTGATGAGGGACGCATGGATCGCCTTGCCAGTTGATTCTACTCAATCCATAGGTGGCTTCAATGTTCTTTATAGCAGACACTGCCATTCAAAGAAGGTCTCGATGTCTTAGTACGTACTCTGTTGCGTTTATGACATATTTCTTTACTATAACATAAGAAAGCATAGATAGACCTGGAAAAGAATGTCACACATACCGTCACTTTCATCTGTTTCAGACTGCGGAAACAGAATAACTTTGTAGATATCTAAAGCATTAATTAGAGGTGGAAGAGTTGATCTGTTGGTTCTAACCAGCTGAAAGCTGCAGCTCCCTCCTTTGCAAGTGGCCGGGGACAGGTTAAAAACAGTAACTGTAACTTTGGAGGAGTTAGAGGGCCATGATAATGTTGTCCATTCAATAGGATATTGAATTCCCTGGTTCCGTTAGCCTGCAAGTCTTGGATCTCAGCAAAGTGTGAGTACAGATAATACTTTTCATCAGGATTTCTTGAACTCCATTCAATCGTCAATGGCGCACTGGCATTAGTAGGCGTGGCTGCATTTTGTAACACAACTTCCGGTAAAGCATATTGGTTGGAGTTCAGTTGGCGATTTGTGGAAATCTGGATCCATTCCATCTTAAAGTAGGATTTCCATATGCGATCATAGATATCGCTTGAGTACCTATGGGGTGTGAGTGATGTTGTTTTAGCAATGGAACTATATCATTCAAACAAAACAAAACACATACGAGGGGAACAGGAAGAGCCACTCTTCAGTTGAAGTCGACGACTCACCGTATCTGGGATGTTGAGTTGCTATGATAATACCCGTCGTAAAGACTCAGGGAGCCAGATTCAGTGTTGTAAGAACCATTTCCCATGGCCATGGGCCGTACTTCCAAGGCGGATATTAGCGGTGTAGTTTCGCTAGTCTTAACAAGACAAATCTTCAACGAGTTTGATGTTGGGATGTGTAGAACATCTTCCCGTACACCAGTCACTGACCGTGCTTCTAAATCTATAGTGGTCCATAAGTTAGGTCCAAGATAAAGATCGAACACCGGTTTGATGCCACGACCGTCGTAGTTTCCGTATACAAAGGTAGCTCTGATCAAATGTTTGCGCCCTTTCTCCACATTCAGGTTGTAGCAGTTCCGTACTCCATCTGGAAAATACCTCATCGTCCTGTAAGGCTTCGGGACTCTACTCACCAGATCTGCCTGAATCCTACCGGTTTTTCCGCTCTGCATGACTGTTGCGTCCGAGGAGAAGCGCAGCCTTGTATAAGTCTCATCATAAGGGGACTGCTCAGTCGCAGGTAGCCCGCAGTCCAAACTGATGAACCCTGTTGAGTGTTGAGTGTTAAAAAGATATGTATACTTCTGAGAACCAAAATGTTTGTAAAAGTTTTTTCAAGCAAGAATTAGGAAGGAAGTTTACAGAACATATCAAAATATGTGGTACCTTGTTGGTCTTGAGCTTGAATAATATGACTGATGGCCAAAGTTGCCATTAGTACCAACAAAGGCGCAAGGGAACTCTCCATATTTTCTTAACATTCAGAAAAAAAAAAAAAAAAATTAAGAGAACCAATGGCTATGCTGTTGAAGAGAAAGAGCAAATATATTAGCAAACCCAAATTCATTCACTCAAAGAAAGACTTTGACAAGTCAATGGTTAAGGGAACAATAATGTCCCAAACCTCACTGTGAAAATAGGCCCCAGACACAGAAGCACATTAGCAATAAAGTGGTGGTAAATAAAGGGACTATCAATTATATATAAAGTAAAGACAGTCCAACAACAATGTCCTTTCTTTGTTTGAAAGCTCTCACTAATCTGTAAGTCTCTTATAAGTTCACCTTAAGGTGCTTAGCCAATTTTTTTAGTTTAAGAGCAGAGAAAAGTGAATAAGAAATCACAATTTATTTTCTGTTTCTAGAAAAGTTGAGTAAGGAGGGCAATGTCACATGCAACAGTAGTTTCTTGGTTAGACAGTACGCATCTTACTTCCAAAGAAACTATCAATCACACACCTGTGATGAGACTATTGTTGTTTTAGCCGTAGAACAATATTTATCAGATTTTAAAACCTTATGTATGGCATTTTTCATTGTTTTTTCTTGTCTTGTACTTTTCTTTTTTTAGTATCATATAAAACCACCTCGTATGTTGGAAACATAGCACAACGGTGCAGAACACACATAAGCAAAACAGAGCTGGAAAGAAGAAAATGTTGTTCAGTTGAAGCTGACTTACCTTATATCAGATCCTGACTTGCTAAAATATCTCCGGGAGAAATGATTCAAGGAGCCATACTTAGTGATATAAAAACCGTTTTCCATGGGCCGTAACACCAAGGCGGATATTGGCGGTGTAGTTTCGCCAGTCTTAACAAGACATATCTGATGTTGGTAGGTGTAACATCTCTTCTGCGGTACCATTCACTAGCCTCTGCAAAAGCTACCGTGGCCCATAGATTAGGTCCAAGATACAGATCAAACTTCGGCTTAACGTCAAGACCATCGTAAATTTCATATACAAACCTAGCCACGATCAATATGTCTCTGCCCTTGTCGACGTTTAGACTGTAGCAGTTCCTTATCCCATCTGGAAAATACCTCAGGGTCTCTTATGGCTTCGCGTATTGCTCAGGAGTCTCTCGGATTCGACCATTTCTTCCGCTACGTATGAACGTTTCGTCTGAAGAGAATAGCAGTTTAGTATAACTCTCTTCATAAGGAGACGTTTCATTCGCTGGTAGTCCGCAGTCCAAAGTGACGAATCCTGCTAAACAGACATTGTCATGCACTTCTGAGAACCAAAAACGTTTCCAAAAGAGAAAGAAAACGTTTGTAAGATGTCTGATACCTTGTTGGTCTTGAGCTTGGACAAGTTGAATGATGGCGATTAGCGGCAAGAAAACCCCAAGAGAATTCTTCATATTCTCTTACCTGCCTGCCTCACAAGGAAAAATCAAGAAAGCATTGGCCACGCTGTAGAGGATGAAGGGAGAATGTATAAGCTAAAAGAAAGACTTTGTCAAGTCAAGAAAAAAGAGAGTAAATGCGTAGGGAAGAAGAAGCAGAGGAAAACAATGCTCCAACAGCACTATCATTGATTTGATATTGAAAAATATGGTCCATATGGAGCAGACGGTGAAGCACGTTACATCAAAGGGGAATCAATTATTTAGAAAAGACTCTCACTTATTAGCGGGTCTCGTACGTTTAAGCTAAGGAGATTAGTCTAACTCTTTTGTTTCTCACTTTCTCTTAAATAATTCGAAGATGCAGTTGACCGTCGTTGACTTGGATCGGTGAATTATTAGCAGACATAGATTTTGTTTCATTCGTGAGTACAGACAGCTTACTCCACATACGAAGAAACAATTTCAGACACGACCCCCACTAGTAAAAGTTGAAATTCTAGTGAAAATGAGTCGCATAAGCTACGGATTTTTCAAAGAACCAAACCTCTTTAAAAAAACTCAAGAGGCATTGAATTCGATAGAAACCTGGGTCTTTCATCTATGTAGTAACAGGATGGGCTCGGCGAGTCGAGGAACGAGAACCTCCGATGATAAAACGACCGTTGTCTACGACGGGGAGACCTCCGCTCGTGTTTAATCGATTGTCATTCCCAAACAGTGAAACAATTCTCTTCATGGTCGCTGCGACCAGCGGTGAGCGACTGAACAGTAGAAAGACCAAAGACATGATTTAAAACCAACGTTGCTTGCCGTCGCCTTAATTTCCAGGTGTCTTGCCCGTGGTAGTATCTTTTACCGGTCGTCGTCGCCGCCGCTGCGATTTCGAAATGAATCGGCCCAAAAAAAAGAACAGGCCCAAGATCTCCTTTGGGTTTAAAGGCCCATATATAGGGGATTTTGAAACCCAATCAAATAGCAACGAAAATACCAAATCTGTGAAGAATGTAGGCAAGGTTGTTTTTGGCTTATGAAAAAATGTCGATTTAGTTTAACTGAATTAAATCATACACAACACTTTTTGTTTTTATCAAGATACTCCTTGTGAATAATATTCTACTAATTTGAAAATCCAAAATCATTGATTTGTTTGACTTCCATATTGGTACTAGCTATACCACAAGCACAAGTAGACTAGACAGGACACAACTTAAAAACGTAAGCGTTAAGGAATGAGCCGGTCGTGATCGATTTTGCTGCACGAACTACCTTGCCCCAGGAACCACCGAAGTGTCCAAACTCATCATGGTCATCTCTAGAGAGTCCAAGCCTCGATCTTTATTCATCCTCGACTTCTCACACGCAAGACACTCTTTAAGCTCGATAATAACATGGGACATGGTTGGTCGGTTTGCAGAATGAGGACCCGCGCACGACATTGCCAGCTCAAGAGCTCTCCATGCAGAATTAGTGTCATAAACTCCGCGAAGGTTTGGATCCATGATCCCATTTATATCACCTCCGTTAAGCTTAGAGCCAACCCATTGTGTTATGTGAGAATTTTCAGAGATCACATGTTGGTTTGTGATCATCTCCAGTAACACGATCCCAAAGCTGTAGACATCACTCTTCTCATCCAACCGACCTGAACTGTAACATCTGCATGGCATGTGAAAAAAAATCTTATATGATTTCAATTGTTGAAAAAGGAAGGCAGTTTCAACACAAATTCAACAGTGCGATTTGAAAGTGAAAACTAATACTGTACTTACTCGGGATCAAGGTATCCAGGAGTACCAGCGATGACCGTCGAAACATGAGATTCGCCACCAACTTGGAAAGATCTTGAGAGCCCAAAATCAGCGATTTTGGCCTTGAAATGCTCGTCCAGCAATATGTTTGTAGTTTTGACATCTCTGTGAACCATCGGCGGTGTGCATCCAATATGTAAGTACTCCAGTCCTACGCAAATGGAGAGTCATCTAAATCAGTGTAAAAGCCAGCTGAACCAATTCTTGTTCTACACGGCTTTTGATTTGGTACAAACCTAACGCGGCCTCCAAGGCTATTCGTAGTCGAATACACCAGTTTATGATGGATTTACCTCCTTTTCCTGTGTATTAGATTGTTAGATACATTCTTTCAAATTTTTCAAGAAGGCAGTCACTATGAAAATATTACCATTCAAATGTTGTTTTAAGTTTCCGTTGGGCAGAAACTCGTAGATGAGGGCCAAGTGATCTCCTTCATAGCAATACCCGACGAGGCTCACCAGATTTGTATGGTGAACTCTAAGAAGAAGATCAACCTAAGACATCGATTAAAAGAAAAACTCAGAAATACATAACTTAGTTTTGTGATGTTCGAAACATTATATATAGTTTAGTTCAGAAGGTAGCAGAGCTAAGAATACCTCTGCTTTGAACTGTTTATAGCCCTGAGTTGAAAATTGGGAGAGTACTTTAACAGCCACTTGTTCAGAACCATTTACAGAACCGTGATAGACCATACCAAACCCTCCTTTACCTAAAAATCTTTGGAAGTTATTTGTCATTTTGATCACCTCTGAATATGTGAACCTTCTCCTTTTCATATCAATAAATGTTTCGGGTGAATCAGCACTTGTAACGTTCACCATTGGTGAAAAGTGTTTAGCTGTGGATAAGATGATAAGAGAAACATTAGGACTTGTATTTAAACAAGAGTATCCACCATGAGAGTGAGACTTGCAAATAACCTTGGAGATTCGATAGCTTTTTCTTTCTGAGAACAAGAAAAAGAACCAAAATAGCAACGAGAATGGCCATACAAGCAACGGATGCAACAATTGCCACTGGAAATTTCTTGCTGTGTGGTTTTGTGCATGAATGAAGCTGACAAAGCCTTGGGTTTCCATCAAGTCTACAAGTAGGTTTCATAGTAATTCAAGTTATTCGATATTCAAAAAAAGGTTGTGGATAATGTGGAATAGTTCTTACAGTAGCTCTACGCCCTTCCTCTGAAGAGCTTGAGGTATGGAACCATTGAGATCGTTCCCGCTTAAGTTTCTGTTAAAAAAAATGAGTAATCCTTTTACTGAACATGATTTGAGGTGAAAAAAACCATTAGCAAGCGTGTTGAGAGAAACTTACATGAACAACAACGACTTTATGTTGCCTAGAAATTCCGGCACCTCTCCGGTTAAACTATTATTTGACAAGTCCCTATAATTTGCAAGATAGAAAAAAAAAAAAAAAGTGATTCATCCATATAAATTATGACCATCCATGTAACTACATGTTTTTTCGTCATTGATATTCAACATACTTACAGTTTTTCAAGCAGCGTGAGATTTTGGATGGCAGCTGCTATGTTTCCAGTTAAACCAGTAGAAGACAAGTTTCTGGTGATAAGTTCAGAACCACATTCAAAGGGACGATGGTCATATGATTGCTAACAGATTATAGAGAGAGCACTAGTGAAGTTAGGACTTACAAAGAAGTGATACTAGGTGATGTGGAGATAACCGTGTCGCTGCAGGCTAAACCATCCCACATAAGGTTTTGAGGGACACATGGATCACCTTGCCAGTTGATTCTATTCAATTCATAGGCGTCTTTGATGCTTTTTAAAGCAACCACTGACATAAAAAATAAATCATGAGTATGTTAATTGTGTTCAATCAGGATTCGTTGAGACCTATACCAAAACGTACCTTCGTTTTCATTTGTTTCGGGTTGCATAAACTGCATGACTGAGTAGATTTCATAAGCGTTAAGTAGTGGTGGAAGAGTAGATCTCCGGGTTCTTGTCAGTTTCATGCTGCATTCCCCTCCTTGGCAAGTCGCCGGGACCTGACTGCGCAAAGTTGTTATATCCAACTTTTTAGGAGTTACAGGGTCGGAAAATCTTTTCTCATTCAAGAACACGGCGAATTCTCTTGTTTCGTTGGCCTGCAAGTCTTGGATCTCAGCAAAGTGTTCATACATGTAATATTGGTCATCAGGATCTGTTGAATTCCATCCAATCGTCAATGGGTCACTAGCGTTAGTAGGCGTGGCAGTATTTTGTCGCACGGCTTTTGGTAGATCGTAACTGTCACCATCCGACACATCGCTAGTGGTGGATATGTGGGTCAACCACGGAAGAGTACGTGGAGTCCATAGCCGATCATATGCATCGTCCGGGTACCTAACGGTGGGAACAATATTCTTTTATAGATAAAAAAGGTTGATATTATCATTTTGTTTCGCTAGGATAGATGAAATCTTATCAGATTGACCGTCTCAAAGCCTTAAAAATATCAAATGTTTGTTGGTCGTGGATGATTGAATTTGGCAGAGCAATGAGAAACATAGCACAACAGAGGCACCTAAAAACAGAGCACTATGAAGAGAAAACGTTCGGCTCAAGTTACGTTACCTTATGAAGGCCTCCGACTTGGTATAATATATTCGATGTAAAAGCTTCAGGGAGCCAGATTTAGTGATATAAGAATCATTTCCCATGGGCCGCAACTCCAAGGCGGATATGAACGGTGTAGTTTTGCCAGTCTTAACAAGACAAACCTGTAACGAGTTTGACGCTGGGACGTGTAACATCTCTTCACGTGTAGAATTTGTCTCTAGTTTCTGGAAATCCACCGTGGCCCATAGATTAGGTCCAAGATACAGATCAAACACTGGTTTAATGTCACGACCATCGTAGTTTCCATATCTAAACCAAGCCCTGATCAAATGCATCTTTCCCTTCTCCACGGGTAGACTGTAGCAGTTCCGTATTCCTTCTCGAAAATACCTCATCGTCGTGTATGGCTTCAAGGGTGGATTCTCCAGATCTGTTTTGATTCTACCAGTTTCTCCGCTTTGGATGTACTTTGCGTCCGATGAGAACTGTAATTCCGTTACTGACTCACTGTAAGAAGAGAGTTCATTCGCAGGTAGTCCGCAGTCCAAACTAATAAACCCTGTAAGCATATATGACCGTTTTAAAAGACAAGTGATCAAGTAGCAAAGAAGGCGAAGAAGAAGAAAAATACCTTGCTGGCTCTGTGCTTGAACAAGATGAATGATGGAAAAAGTTGCAATTAGCACCAACAAAATCGCAAGAACTCTCACCATGATCTCTTACTTGTCTAGGAAAAATAAGAAACAACGGCTACTATGGAAGATATAATTGCGATAATATATAAGCGAACAAAAAAATCTGAAACTGGAAAGTAGAAAGAAAAGACTTTGCCAAGTCAACGGGTTTTCTAGTACAAGACGACGAAGAAGAAAAATAAGAGGAAGCCAATGCTCCAGCTTGCTTAGTATTTACCTTCCAAGAATCTTCCCGGAAGAAGACATTGGCTTTAATAGCTACCATACATGGGGACGATAACGTCTAAATGGGAATGTGATTGGAGTGCAGTCCAACAAAATCATTCAAAACCCAAATCATACACTAGAAAGAAAGACTTTGTCAGGTCAATGGTGAGTAAATGTGTTGTACCTGGGGAAGAAAGATGCCGTGTTCAGAGGACACAACAAAGTTCCAACATCACTTATCCTGCTTGTACTTATTAGTGGAAAACAAGTAGCAGTCCAAGAAGCAATAAGTCAAGCCCAAGAGGAATCTCCGAGTCTCGCAATCAGTTAAGGTAATTAGCCATAATCACAACCATATTCTTTTTTATTAGTTCTCTAGTGAACTTGATTTTGGCAAATTGTCACATTTGATGGAAACGCAATCGCAAACGCTCTCCGGCCTCTGCTCGCGTTTACAAGTGGTAAAACAGCGAAAATGGAAACTTGTTTGGCCATTGGGTTTAACTAATTCCTACTAGGTTTTAGGGGTCTCAACATTTCATTTTTTCCTACACTACCTGGAATCCACAAGTGTGCCCAAGTAGAATTCACGAATAAATGCCAATGGCCCAAACCCAAATATTCACAGTATATCACACCAGAATCAACACACATTCGTTTTTAAAATAGAAGAAGATACGTTTCAATGGTCAAAACCAAAAATGACTAGGTTTGGTGTTGGGTGTTGCCATTTCTTTGCATGTTACTTGGAACAGCTCTCAAACTATCTCGCCACAGGGAACACCTCAGTGTCAATGATCATGCTCACTTCAGGGGAACTCTCCGAGTCCATGCCTCTACTCATTCTTCTCCTCCAGTTTTCAGAGACCAAGACACTCTTTTAGTTCAACAACAACCTGGGACATGCTTGGCCGTCTTGTGGAAGAAGGATTTGCACATGACATTGCCAGTTCAAGAGCTCTCCAGGCAGAACGAGAGTCATAATCTCCATGAAGGCTTGGATCCATAATATTACTAATATCTCCGCTGTTTAGCTCAAACCCAACCCATTGCGTTATGTGAGTCTTTGCACGAGCTTGGTCAATCACAGGCTCATTTGTGATCATCTCCAATAACACAATCCCGAAGCTGTAAACATCGCTCTTCTCACCCAACCGACTTGTACGGTAATATCTGCCAAGGCAAAGTACATGGTTATACACTTCAACCACCAAAAAAGGAAATGTCAACTCATTTTCAGCATTTTTTTTTATGGTGACGAATGATACTTACTCAGGATCAAGGTATCCAGGAGTACCAGCAACCACAGTTGAAACATGGGATTCCCCTCCAACAAGAAAAGATCTCGAAAGCCCAAAATCAGCAAGCTTAGCCTTTAACTGCTCGTCCAACAATATGTTCGTAGTTTTGATATCTCTATGTACAATTGGCGGTGTGCATCCCGAATGTAAATACTCCAATCCTATTCGAAGGAGTGATGATTTGTTAATCCACAAGAAGTGAAAGTCAATGTAAGCTACTTTTATTATCTACGCTTAGTACGAACCTAGTGCAGCCTCCAGAGCTATCCGTAGCCGATTGCCCCAGTTGATAAAGGATCCAACGCGTTTTCCTGAACGTTTGATTCTTTAGATTTTTCTGAGCCTTGAATGTTGTTATAAACATAGTCTAGCTAGATTCTTGAATCATCAAAAAAATTCAACTTTACCAGATAAATGCTGTCTTAAGTCTCCATTTGGCAGAAACTCGTAGATAAGAGCCAAGTGGTCTCCTTCATCGCAATATCCAACGAGGCTCACCAAATTTGTATGGTGAACTCTTAGAAGAAGATCAACCTAATCACCCACATGAGTAAGAAAAACAAGAGATAACATAAGGTTGTGATGCTAATTAAGATGATCATAATTATTTTTAATAAAATTTACATACCTCTGCCTTAAAGTGCTTATAGCCTTGACTTGATGATTGAGAGAGTACTTTAACAGCTACCTGTTCGGAATTATTCAGAGTACCATGACACACAACACCGAATCCTCCTTCCCCTACAACTTTTTGGAAGTTATTCGTCATTTTCATAACCTCTGAATAAGTGAACCTTCTCTCCTTCGTCTCGATTGATGGTTCAGATGAATTGGCATAGGTATCATTCACCGTTGGTGTACTCGGTGCATGTTGCAGAGCTATACAGAAAAAAAGGTAGGGGATATGTAAGAAAAAAATATTCATCGAAATTTTTGTAGTTCCTTTGATTTGATGAGAGATCTCCAGCAAATTACCTTCCACAAATGACGGCTTTTTCTTTCTGAAAACAAAAATAAGAACCAAAACAACAACGATTATGGCCACAGAAGCGACTGATGCAACAATCACCACTGGAAATTTCTTCTTGAAGTCTTCTGTACATGAACCCGAGAGACAAAGCTTTGGGTTTTCTTGAACCCTGCAAGAAGAAGAGTGTTGTTCAAAACATCAAATCACAAAATGGCTATGGATTATAACTGAGGAATATTTAAAAAGTATGTGCGAAGTTTCTTACTGTAACTCAACTCCCTTTCTTTGAAAAGCTTGAGGAAGTGGACCTGACACGATCTCCTCTGGAACTATTCTGAAGATAGGTTGATGAAGATCAAAGGATGATTGTGAAATGGTGATGATGATCGTGTGAAAGGGAGAAATGGTAGTGTAGAGTGAGATTAGAATGGTTTTAAGGGGTTTAATGGAACGTTTTAGGTGATAAAATGGAAGTAACAGATAGTAGAGTTTCAAGAACACTTGGTGAATAGAAACTCGGATCCACAAGAACACATTCAAGAGATCAAAGGGTGAGAGAAGAAATGCAGCAATAGCTGTTTGTTTAACACTTAGTTCTTCGCTGATTTACAAAAAGGGGCGTAATACAAGTCTTATACTACCCTAAAAACCAAACAGCATGGCGTCTAAGAAAGAAAACAACAGAACGTCCAAAGTAAAGAATAAAACAACAAGGCGTCCCATTCCTTAGAATCCTAATTGGTGCGCCTGAAAATACTAAGTATAAGGCCAAAGTAGCTCATACATTTATTACCCATTGGCAATGACTCCTAAGTAACTTGACGTAGTGATTCATCTGCCTCATTAAAAACCATGTTGAGAAAACCCAATGGGACAAAACTCATCATGGGAAAAAGAGTACAGACTCCTCACCTAAGTTACTTAGTTATCATTACCGGGTGGAGTCTTCTGGTTGAAGATGTTGAAAACTTGAATAGCTGGTAGGTTGCATAATCCTTCTGCCATAAGTGCATGAACTTCCTTAGCCAGTTCCTTAGCTCTGGAACGAGTGATCCTCCCTACTATCTCCGGTTCCTCCTCTGGTTCTGCAGCTATCGTGCTATCCCCTATCATATCATCCTCTCCCTCTTGAAAGGGATTTGTCCTCAAATCTGTATCTGCAACATAAGGAAGCAAGTCAGAGACATTGAATGATGGAGATATATTATACTTACCTTGAAGATCAATCTGGTAGGCATTGTTGTTGATCCTCTTGATGACTTCGAATGGTCCATCCATCCTTGGCATAAGCTTGCTCTTCCTCTCTTCTGGAAATCGGTCTTTCCTCAAATGAATCCACACCAAGTCTCCTTCCTCAAAGATTAACTCCTTTCGGCCCTTGTTTGCATGCTTCTCATACTGCTTAGTCTTCTTCTCTATATTCTCCTTAGCCTTGGCGTGTATCTTCCTCACCTGTTCTGCCTTTTCTTTTCCATCTAAACTACATTTCACACTTAGAGGCAAAGGGATCAAGTCTAGAGGTGATTGTGGGTTAAAGCCATAGACAATTTCAAAAGGAGAAAAGAGGGTTGCAGAATGCTTAGCGTGATTGTAAGCAAACTCCACGTGTGGTAGACACTCCTCCCATGACTTGATGTTACTTTTTACCAGCGTTCTAAGAAGTGTTGACAATGTTCTGTTCACCACCTTGGTTTGTCCATCAGTTTTAGGGTGACATGTAGTTGAGAATTGAAGCTTGGTTCCCAGTTTAGCCCATAATGTTCTCCAGAAGTGCCCTAGAAACTTGGTATCCCTGTCTGAGACTATCACTTGAGGCATACCATGTAGAAGAACTACTTCCCTGAAAAACAAGTTAGCTACACAGACAGCATCATCTGTCTTATGACTAGCAATGAAGTGTGCCATCTTGCTGAACCTGTCAACAACTACAAAAATCGAATCTCTACCATTTCTGGTTCGAGGTAAGCCAAGCACAAAGTCCATAGAAATATGAGTCCAAGGCTGAGAAGGAATAGGAAGAGGGGTATACAAACCGTGAGGTTGCACCTTACTCTTTGCCATCTTACAAACTGCACACCTAGAACAAATCCTCTCAACGTCTGTCTTCATGTATGGCCAATAAAAGTGATCTTGCAGTCCAAGTAGAGTCTTAGCGACTCCAAAGTGTCCAGCTAATCCACCTCCATGGGCTTCTCTGACCAATAACTCTCTGACAGATCCTCTTGGTATGCACAGGCGATTGTTATAAAACAGATATCCATCCTGTCTATGATATTTTTCAAAAGCAAACTTATAGCACTTGCCATAGCTCTCAGCAAAATCAATGTCAGTCTCATAAAGATCTACTATATGTTCGAATCCATTAAGCTTAGAAGTTAAAGTAGAGACAAGTGTGTACCTCCTTGATAATGCATCTGCAACTACATTATCTTTACCTTGCTTGTACTTAATGATGTATGGAAAAGTCTCTATGAACTCCATCCATCTGGCGTGTCTTTTATTGAGCTTCTGCTGTCCTTTAAGGTGCTTTAGAGACTCATGATCTATATGAATGACGAATTCCTTGGGCCACAAGTAGTGCTGCCACGTTTGAAGAGCTCGAACTAATGCATAGAGTTCCTTGTCATAGGTTGGATAGTTGGCGGTTGATCCTCCTAGCTTCTCACTGAAGTATGCCACCGGTTTCCTATCCTGCATCAATACAGCACCGATTCCAACTCCTGAAGCATCACATTCAATTTCAAAAG